AAAGTCAGCTGTAATCTTAATGGGTTTTCCTTTATATGTGACTTGTTGTTTCTCTTTTGCAGCTTTCAGTATTGTCTCTTTATTTTATACGTTTAATGTTTTTACTATGATGTGCCATAGAGAGTTTCTTTTCTGGTCCCATCTATTTGTTTTTCTATATGATTCTTGTATTTGTATAGGCATGTCTTTCTTTAATTTGGGGAAATTTTCTTCTACAATCCTGTTGAAGATCTGGTCCATACCATTATCCTAAGATTCTTCTCCTTCCTGTAAGCTCATGAATATTTACTGCAGGGCTTACAACCCAATCCTACATCATTTATTTCACTCTTCAGATTGTCTCAGCATTGGTCTGTCACCTGGCTCCTGTGTCCTTTCAACCTATCCCCAATGTTTTTCTGAGTAGTTTTTTACTCTCTGGTACCACAAGATGTTCTAGGCTCAAACTGTATTTTTTTCCTGCTGCAGCCCCCATGAACAACTATTTCTCTATGAGTTCTTATTCTCTTCAATGGAGAACGGTATTTAGAAACCAAGATCTGGCCGGATGTGTGAGACACACCTGCAATCCTAGTAACTTGACAGGCTGAGGCAGGAGGATGCCTGTGTAGTTCATGAGTAGAAACCAAGATCTAGACAACAAGTCTATTCTTCACTATTGACAGCACTTCAGAGAAGCAGGAAGAACAGAGCTGGAGATGCAGCTCAATAGTGAAGCGATGACTACCATGTGTGAGGCCCTGGGTTCAATCTCTAGGACTACCAAGAAGAGCCAACCAACGTTCTATGCATCCTATGATCCCATTCAGTCAAGGCTGTGCCTTCTGTGCTTTCTCAACTATGGCCAAAAAAGACGAAGTGGAAAATTCCAGAAATAAAGAGTAACTTTAAATAAGTTCATTGCATTATGTTGATATAATTTTTTTATTTACTAGCGAACGGTTTTAACTCTGTATGTTAATATTTCTAAATTATAAATTAAACCTTTTATAGGTACATATGTATAGGAAAATACAGTATTTATATATAGCGTTTGCACTATTCACATTTTAGGCATTGACTGGGGATCTTAGAATATAACCCCACTGAGATGAAAAGGGAATACTTACAGAATGATCAGCAAGTCAAGTAAACAAGGTGCACTTCTTTTTGGACCTCCCTATTTGAAGCAACAAACCCACCCATATTTCTAGACCGTGTCCCATGTATAAAGCTGTGCTCAGTTTAGGAGTCCCTGCTCCAGGGGTGTTTTTAACTTGAAGAATAGTTGAAAAGCTAGCAGAGAAGTATAGCTATTTCATGTAGGAGCTGGCTAGAACATAATTATTCATCAAATAGGAGAAACAGGGAGGAAGATACATAACAGACTAAGAAGTTATTAGATGATTTGTTGGAAACAGAGGGAGAGGGGTTGGACTTTGTGGATGGCAAGAATTTGGTTAACTGGAATGAAGGCTAGGACCCTCAGGGCAAATCAAAAAGCTATGTGAAAAGAGCATACTGGGAATGGCACATAAAGGAAAGGGCTGAGGCAGAGACTATGGGCAGGGTAGGCTGCGAATGACACAGAACACCTCTAAAGGCATCAGCAATGAGAAGCCACTGCGCAGTCAGGGCTCTGAGGCTAAATGTATGCTGCAGACGGCCCACTGAGGCTGTGCAAGAAGGAAGTCAGACGGGGGCAGGCTGATGGCACTGGAGGGAATGGGAATAGCAGTGCAAGGCAGGAGCCAGGTGTGGGGAAAGGTAGCAATCTGAGAGGTCACCTAACCTTCCTCTGGCATCCGAAGCAGACTTTTGGCTGGAAAGCAGTTGCTCAAGTATGGTTTGCCATTGTCCATTTTGTAGATTCCTGAAGAAATCATCTCCCTGAGGGGCAGCAAGGACAGTGAGGAGTCAGAAGAGCAGATGCAGCGGAGTCGTCTCTCCCCAGTGCTGCTCATGAGCACCCAGGACCACTGTGCCCCACCCACCCTCCCTCCTAGGACCAAGAGGCCCATGCCAACGCAGATGAAGCGGGAGATGGGGCCTTGGATTTTTTTCAGTTCAATTCAGTCCTAATTCAATGGAATATTAGACTGGGCTCAGATAGACCTGGTTTGAGTTCTGGCTCTGTCTTTCCTTGTTAAATAACTAAACAAATTCCTCTAGCTCTTTGAACCTCAATTTTCTCGCCTGTAAAGTGGGGGCAGTAATCCCCCTTAACAGAGGATCAGCATGGAACACACATGACATATTTACTAGAAGTTTAACAGGGTATAGAGAAAGCAGGCTCAGTTTTTAGGAATGAGGACAAGCAAATGAGGTTTGAATTGGGTAAAGTGGATTTAAGGAATAAACTGAGTTTGCTGATGGGAAGACGGATAAACATTCCAAACAGGAAGGGCCATAGGATCACAGGCATTGAGGTGCACAGAGAAGAGATGGCCAGACCCAGGAAGGGGAAGGACATGTGTTTGGGGCTCCGACATGAAGACTGGACAGGTAGAATGGCACCTGCCCCCAAAGGTGTTTGCTGCACCTGAGTGACTAGGGTTTCACACTTAGTGAAAGGTTTCACACTTAGGTGCCTGGGAAACAAGGATGACAGGTAAGCTGCTGGGAGCCACAGCCACAGCTGTGCTTTACAAAGGGAGATTTGACAAAAATGGCACCCAGTGACAGTGACTGGCAATAGGGACAAGTAGGGACTCTTGTATCAGGCCAGGGGTGAGCTTCAGGGATCTATGTAAAACACCAAGGAACTAAACAAAGCTAAAAGGAAAAAAGGGAGGGAGGGAGGGAGGAAGGGCACAAAGGAAAACAGGCCTGGAAGGATTCAGAAAGGAACTGCAGAAAAGTAAACTGGAGGGTAGAGAAACTCAGGGAACTGTTAGATAAACTCAAGAAGAGAAAGCTTAGCAAAAAGAGAGAGGAGCTGAGACGTCAGGTAAGGTTAAGACCCAAAACAGGCCATGAGGAAATAGCAGTCAGTATCTGTAGAATGGTAGAATTAGTCGTGACTTTGGGTACGGAATGAGTAGACAGGAAAGTGCAAAAAGTGAACACAAGTTTTCCAAAGACCTTGGCTGTGAAAGCCAGGAGAGAAGCAAGTGGTAAGGTATAGTCAAGAGTTAGGGGGCAACAGGACAGGAAGTGGGGAGAGGACATGTCTAGGGAACTAGGGTGTACTCTCTGGCTCACAAGTGGGTAAAGGCAGTGCCAACGCTTGCTTCCACCCTAGTCATAGCCTTGGACAGTCACTACAGGGTATGGACACTGGATGGTCCAAATCCTGGTGACAAGCACTTATAATTGCAAAGCCTTGGACATTTTACCTAACTATCCAGTTACTTAACATTTTACCTCAATACCTCAGTTTCTTCATTTGTAAAATGTGGACAATAAGCGGACCTTTTCCATGGGGTTGCTTTGGTAATTAAGTGAGAAAATGCTCATGAAAGGACTTAAAATGACACATGACTAGCATATATGGCTCATTTTTTACTATGACCATCATTAATAGGATGAGAAAGTCTCAGCTATATCTATCACTAAGAGGAAGGAGCGGACAGAGGAGGAGCAGATGAACACAAGAGAAAGGTGGGTAGTCTTAGAGCAAGCAAAAGTAAGGTACCCAGAGCCCAGGGAAGAGGCTCCTCCACTGAGGGAAAGGAGAGCTATGACCGAGAGGAGATGTCACATATCCTGAGTGGCTTACTCCCCTTCCACCTAAGGGAAAAAAAACGCAGAAGAAATATACATATGAGATACATGAATAGATAGATAGATAGATAGATAGATAGATAGATAGATAGATAGATATGGGAAGAAAGGGCTGGTGAGATGCCTCAGCAGGTAAAAGCCCTTGTTGCTAAGGCTGAGGACCTGAGCCCAGAACCTATGTAAAGGTGGAAGGAGAGAATGGACTATAAAGTTTACCTCTGACCTAAATATGCACACTATGGTGCATACGCTCACACATACTTACACAAATAAATTAATTAAATACTTTAAAAATTGGGAAGAGGATATGATTCTGCCACCACAGTCTGACTCAGGTTTTTCTTCATCAAATTGTTATTCTCCTCAGAATAATTACTCAAAGGAGTGGCTGCCCCTAATCACAATTAAATTTATCATTTGTCACTTAAAGAATAGGAAGTTAAAAAGTCTGCTCAGCTAAGAAGGAAAAGAAAAACCAGGCTGGAGGTATAGCCCAGTGGCAGAGCACTTCCCTAGCACATGTGAGAACCTGAGTTCAGTCCCTAGGCCCACAAAAGTATTTATCATCTACATCTGTAATTCTTTGTCATAGTCTGTTGTCAATCCCTGCATAACTCTATGTCTTAGCTAAGAATTGCTAATACAAGTCTTTACGGTCTTTACAGGAGTTGGACAGGCAATAGGAGTGAGTGAAGAAAACTGGATGTCAGAGAGAAGGGGGAGGGAAGAGAAAGTATATATGTGAGTGTGTGCCTGCCTACAGGGCAGCGCCTATCAACTTTCCCCCAATTGCTGCCAAGCAGAAATCTAGTCAGTGCTGCCACATCTCCCCCCGTCCCCCACACCACCACTTTTTTTTTCAAGAGAACACCATTTTTTAAGTGAAATCTGATTATTTCAGTATCAGCAATGCATCTGTCATTTTGAAACAGTATGCAGGCCCAATCAAACACATCTGGTAAGAGAAGCAACTCAGAGGCTACTGTTTGTTTTTGTCATTAAAATTCTTTGACTTTCAGGGCTGGAGAGATAGCTCTACAGTTAAGAGCACTGGCTGTTCTTGCAGAAGACCTGGGTTCAAATCCCAGCATACACAAGGTGGCTAACAACTGTTCATAACCCCAATTCCAGGGGATCTGATGCCCTCTTCTGTCCTCCTAGGGCACTGCATGACATGGGTGTACTTACACACATGCAGGTATAACACTCATACACATAAAAAATAAATAAATAAAAATAAATTCTTTGACTTTCCCAGGTGGGAATCAAAGAAGTCTTTTTCATAAAAAAAAATAAAAAATAAAAACAAACAAAAACTCCAGAAAACTCCTATTACTTGATTTTGCAGATTCAATAATAAACACTGGCTTTTGTCTGGAAACACACAGCTGAGGACTAGACCCAGTCTCTCTTCTTATCCTGTGCTTCTCACAGGTCATGTAGTCATGGCAATTCCAGCTCAGAATTACTGCTCCAATGGGCTCCTCTTCCCCACTGCTTTCATTAATTTCCTCATCATATCCTATCTAGACTGCTACAACTCTCATCTGACTAGATTCCCAAGCTCAAGCCATAGGCCTCAATCTTGTTTGTCTATTTTCCTTCACATTTTATTTTTGCTGGGTTGGAGATGGAGCCCAGGGCCTTGAACACACTAGGCAGGTGCTCTGTCACTAAGTCCAACCCCTGAGTCTGCTCTGGAAGGTTCTTGGCATCCACCCCATTCAGCCTCACAAGGTTGTATTGCAATCAATTTTCCCACCTGTTCTTCCCAGTGTTCCTTTAGCCTAAATTATCCCTTTCTATTTTGTCTATCTTGTTGATCTCATCCCTTAAAACTCAGTCCCAGGGCCATCTCCAAGACTGAAGTTTCTTAAATCCTGAGTTCTTAAGAGATTTCTCTTTCACAGGCTCCAGCTATCCAGAGACCTGCCTATGGACAACATCAGACATTCTGAGAACCTTCAAGCCCTGGATGAAGGAAGGGAGTTACATGAAGACTGCATGACATACAGGGTGTGGGAAGAGATCAGTAAGGTAGGGGCAGCGAGGGGCTGGGACCAAGGTGTCCTGCAAAAGGGTTTCCTGGGAGTGACAAATATGATCGGTGATACAAAAAGGGAAACCAATTTGGGGAACAGGAAGCCTGAGTTTGGGTCAAGTTTCTACTGTTAAGCTGAATGGCCTTGGGCAAATCACTTTACTTCTTTGAGTCTCGGTTTTCCCACGTAGAAAACAAAGATAAAAATCCTGTGCCTCAGAGAACTGTAGTAAGAATTAAATAAACTGGTAAGGAGATGCACAGGAAGAGGCAACTTTCTATACCCTGCCCACATGCCACCCCTCCCACAAAGCCTTCACTGAACTTTCTAGTGGAAAACAACTATGCTTTACTAATCCTTGAATTTATTTACTTATTGTAGTTTCTCCTTTGTGGCTTGAGTGTTTTCTACCTCATAAAATTACTACAAACCACAGGAAGCTCCCCCAAGGGACTATGAATCTCCAAGTCTGAAACGTCCGATTTACTGTCTCCCTTCTTCCACCTATGGGACTTAGCTCTTAAGAAGCTCCCAGTAGACATAGGTGAGCCGAATGAAGGGTATGATGGCACTCCTGGGATCCAAGGGTATATGTAAATCTGATTTAATTTTCCTTGAGAGAAAGGACAGTGTAGGTGGTTATTTGTCAATTTATTCCTAAAACAGCACCTGACACATGACATGTTCTATAAATATCTGTGGAATGAATGAATGAATGAATGTTGGTATGGGAGTGAATGTTGGTATCTCCTTTAGTCCAATACAGAGCACTATGAATATTCTGTTCCCTGACCTCCCCTTCAAAGGGTAGAGTCTCTTCTCATGTGTCCCTATGACCCCACACTTCTCCCAGAACAGTACTCATCACATTATTACCATGCTTTGCTCTCTTGTGACTACTTTCCATTTGCTCTAAGGCCTATAATGATCTCCTCTATATAAGCCTGACACCTAGCATACAGCCTAGAACACTCTAAACATGAAGAGGGGGCCAAATGATGACAGATTCACAATCAGTTGACCTATTTTTCAGGAAACCACTCTGGTGATCAACCACATCTATCAGTTAGACAGGCAAATGAAGGGTTGAATAAATAAACCACTGCCTGGGAGATGTTAGAGATGGCAACTGGTGGAGAAGGCTCTGGCCACTGACCAGAACAGTGGGACCTAGCTTCAGGTCTATATAGTACTTACTTGATCTTTGACCCTGGGAATGATTCTTTGACTTCTTTCTGTTTTTGTTTCTTTACCTGTTTCTTTACCTGTAAAATAGATATTATGCTTCTTTGTCATTCGGGACTCTTGAATGAACTTCCTTATAGCCAAATCCCACTGCAGGGCTAGAGAGATGGGTCAGTGGTTAAGAGTGCTTGCTGCTCTTCCAGAAGACTTGAGTTCAGTTCCCAGCACCCACATCAGGTGGGTCACGACCACCTATAACTCCAGCTCCAGTGGATCTGACACCCTCTTCTGGTCTCCTTGGGCACCTACACTCATGAGGCACACACACACACACATACAGGGCACACACGTGGGGCACACAAGATACAGAGACACAAACACAGGTATAGATGGGAAGAATTATAGGAGAGAAGTTGTGTAAGAGTAGAATGTGGCTGGTTGTTTAAGTAGGATACAAAAAGCACAGATGAGAAAGGAAGGAATCATTTGTATGATTATTTAAATGAAATAAATGTCTGTCAATGTTGAAAGGTAAGACCCAGTCTGGGAAAAATATTTGCTAAGCATATATCACAAAGGATAAATCAAATTCAAGTATTAGAGCTGATATAAATAATCACATAAATTCCAATTCAGCATGAAGAATATTAGGTGAGAAGGTATGGCTCTACCACTAAAGGAGTAAGAAGGAACACAACTCCCAGGTTCCATTTTTCTAGTCTGTAACCCTAACAGAAGTATGAACTTTATATTTATGGTAGAAAAAAAAAAAGTCCAAGATCCAGACCTGAGGTTTAACTTCAGCTGCCTCTGCACTCTATCTCAAATGTGAAAGCTAATGTCAAGCTGACTGTAGTACTTCATACAACAGTCATATCTTCCATCTGTCTCTCTCTCATACCCGTATCTGTACTACCCCCTGCTCCCATCCCAGATACAGGTAGTGATGCTCCTCATCTGCATTCATGTGCTTGCTGCATTCCTTTGGCCTATCACACATCTGTCCTTTTTCATGACTCATACAGATAACTTTCCTATACCTCCTTATTTTCAGGTTGACTCTTCTCTGTGCTGTTACACTTTGGAACTTGCTAAGAAGACCAAGCTGGCCTTCATCTCACAGAGATTCATTCACCTGTGTCTGCTTCCTGTGTGCTGGGATTAAAGGCTCGCACCACCATGCCTGACCAGGCCCATTTCTTAATGGAGGTACTCTATCACACCATATTTAAAGGGCCTGCTTCTTTCACTGTTCCCCACCAGGCCAACCTCAAGCTGAGACTGAGTCCCTCCAAGGTCAGGTCTAGGTCCTACTTATCTGCCTATCTCCAGCATCTGGAACAGGGCCTGGTCTGCGGGAGAAAGAGTCCTAACAAGTGTTAACTGAACTAAGCAGAGGCATAAACAAAATGGAGGAGTATTTTGTCTGCAAAAAAGAGAAAAAGCAAGGATTGAGGAATGTTTCACAGAGCAGGTGACATTAGAGCTGGGTTCTGAGAAATGAGAAGTTACAAGAAAGCTGAACAGCAACCAAAAGTTATAGGGGACTTGGATAGCCAGAGACTGCTTCACAACAGTGAAGACCTCTAATCTGATATTCTTTAGTGACCATTATTTCATATGAATGTTAGCTTTGCCAAGACAGATTTTTGTCTGTTTTATTCAGGAGTACATCCTATATAACTACAACAGAACTGGACATACTAAGCAATTCAGTATCTGGCCCATCATGTGGACACTTATGCAGTGTACACAGGTATAAAAACTAGATAATGCAATGCCATATAGCATAAAGTAATACTATTATGTGATAACTCTAGGCCTCTAGAGTTGTAACCAGATTTATCTTGATTTCCTTCTATCCTTTAGCACAGTGCCAGGTATAACTGGTGCTCAATAAATATTTTTCTCAATAAATATTTGTTAGAGCAGAATGCCAGAGTGGAAATGTTCTATGTTTTTTAGTTAAAATAACAAACAAACAACAACAACAAAACCTAGCTTCAAATGGGTTTCTGATTCAGGCTATCTAGACAGCGTGGCTCTGGAACTAGGACAGGGGGTCAGTAAATAAGTGCACGTTGGGAGTGCAGATAATAGGCACTGAGTAAATGAGAGTTCCACACTTAACATTATTAACAGCTAGGATGACAGTCACTAGGGAGAATCATCCGGCTCGTGCTCTAACAGGGCTAGACAAAGATGGACGGGCTCTCCCCATCCGTTGGAGGCTACATCTGGCCGGGGAGACTCTTCACTCAAGCCAAATAAGTTTCCAGCCACACCTGCCGCCGGCGTCGTTTCCGCCTCCTAACAGTCCGCGGAGACGATGTCCGAGTCAGGCGGGATGCACCCCTGCGAGCCTCACGGGAATCTCGTTGTCGATCCACGGTGTCGTCGGCCACAGCCTTCCCCACCCACTTCTTAGTAACTGACACGGCGGCTAGCGAGGTATACAGCAACCGGCGATCGGAGATTCTAACTTCAAGTCCCAGCAAGCTCCGCGGCCACTTCCGCCGACATGCTCTAGTCAGCAGCTCGGAACTACGAAACCCGATGGGCTCTGCGCGGCCTATCACGTGGACAACTTCAGCCAATAGGCTTTGGACAAGTAGTAGTGGCTGGAGACACAGAGGCGGACAAGATGGCGGCGGTGACGGCGGCGCAAGGCGGGAGAAGCAGTGGCGGCGGCGGTGGCGGCGGGGCTGGCGGCGGCCCTAGCTGCGGGACAGGCAGCGGCCGCAGTGGTTTGTTGGATAAGGTGAGGATCTGAGTTCTGGGGAGAGTCTAGAGCCCTGGGGAGGCCCAGGAGGCTGCAAGCCCCCTTTCCCATCCCCGCCCCCCCTTATTCTCTGCGGCTTCTCTCCGGTGTAGATCACCTACGCCCTTTTGTAACCTTCCCTCTCCGCACTTTCAGACCCAAGCCTCCTCTTTAGATCTTTTTCACCGGTGTTCCTGGTCCCTAACGCTGGCCGCTACCACAGCTTCGCATAAAGATGCCCGGATTTCAACGTGGCATCGCGTTTCCATAGTGGTGCTGAGGGTTGGGGGAGGCACTGTTAAAGAGTGCCCATTGCACCGATGCGGAAAGCTTAACTCCAGAGAAATGAATCTACTCGAAGTCGTATTCTCTTAACTTTGCCACCATCACCCTCGCGTGCTGCTACAGAGTCCAAAGTGTTCCTTGACCACTTAGTACTGAAGTTTCTAGACATTTTAATATTTGAGTATTCGTTTCCCTTGCTGACAGGAAGCCTTTAGATTCATTTTAGATTCCTGACTTCCTCTCTTCTCCCCCTGGTAGTCCCCCTGCTGTCTGCTTCAGCTACCTGCTTTCCATTCAGCCTACCCAGTTTTAAAAAGAAAATTACATTCTCTAAGGGCTTAAAGGACAGAAAAAAGAAAGCTCTGCTCCTGGGTCTTGCTCTTTGTACAGAAACTTGGAAGAAAAACAGGCCTGGTCTGCCTCTAGCTATGTGACCTAAAATATGCTTGTTCTCTGTGTCTGTCACTCATCTGCAGAATGAGGGGCTTAGCCTTAATATGCTCTTACAGCCTCTTTCCAGTATTCCTATTCCCCTCTGGCTTCATAAGTTTGAAGCATGATATCTTTAAGATAGAAAATCATTAAAACCTTTTTAATTGAAAAGCCTCCTGACTCCCCTGTGCCTAACATATAGCAAGTGGTTGAGCAATGAATGAATGCCTGATCATATGGGAGGGCTCAGTTCCTAGGTGGATCTGCTCATTTTCCCACATGCTAGGTACTACATCCCCAGCTCTCCTTGTCTTTTTGAGGGTCATCAGTTTCAGATTTGAGATAGGGTCTTGCTTTATAACCTCATCTGGTATGGAACTGGCTCTAGTTCAAGCTGGCCTCAAGCTCAGAACCTCTTGTCCTTCCAGTACTCTCAGTCTTAATACTTGTTAAGAAACAGGAAATGAGCCAGGAGTGGTGATGCACATCTTTAATCACAGTACTCAGGAGGCAGAGGCAGGAGGAGCTCTCTTGAGATCAAGGCCAGCATGGTCTACATAGCGAGTTCTAGGCAAGCTGGGGCTACAAAGGAGACCCTGTCTCAGAAAACAACAAGAACAAAAAACAAAATGTGTTCTGGCAGTTGGTTGGCATTTTTGTATACACATTCTCCCTATGCACTGGCACAGCCTGTGCCAATCCTGTCCCAGTGACTCTGCTGCCTCTACCCTGCGCTTGAATCACCACCAGCAAACCAACATGGACATTTTACTAAGGCAGAGGTTACTAAACACAGTGCCCTTTGGTGTCTGTGAAGTTTTGGTTTTAGGATTCTCCACAGATTTTGGTATTCAAGGATGCTTGGGTTATTCATAAAATGGTGTAGTATTTCCATACAAGCTACATGTCCCCCAGTATACCTTAAATCACCTTTAGTTTACTTGTAACACCTGATACAAAGTAAATGCTATGTGAACAGTTGTTATACTTTTGAGGGAATAATGACAAAAAATGTCTATATGTTTGGGATATAATGAAATTGTGTGTGTGTGTGTGTGTGTGTGTGTGTTTGTTTGTTTCTCTCTCCTTGAATACTTTCTATGCATGACTGATTGCTCCCTCGATGTGCAATATGGATACAGTGGATTCACTGGACCCTGAACTTAGAGATCATGTTAATTTGGCTGTTGTAGGACCCTGAACTTAGAGATCATGTTAATTTGGCTTTCAAGTATCCCTGCTACTTGGAAGAAGTATGAAGACTGTCAGGTCAACCTCACTAAACTTTCTTTTCTTCATCTGGAATGTTCGTCTCCAGTAGCTGTATGACATGGTTTGGCAGAACCAAGATAATACATACCAATACTCTGTACCCTTTGGAGCCCAGTGTGTGGTGGTGATAGAGGAATACATCAAGAATTCTATTATCAGAGAGTACTCAGCATAGCTGAATACAGAAAATGAAGTAGTCAAAATATTAAGTATATTTAGGGATGCATACGGTATATTCAGAAGGGTATCTTTTGCAGAAGTTTAAGCGAGAGAGATGATTCTTGAGATCTAGTAGCTGAGGTTGAGGGCCAGGGCTTCACATCCGAGACTGTAGTTCACACATTATTTTGAGAATGTGAAGAAAAGCATGTTAAGTAAGAAAGCCTACTTCTATATTTTTATTACATTTTTATTTATGTGTGTTTGGGTGCATACATGTGGAGGTCAGAGGACAACTTTTGAGAGTTCTCTCTTTCCACCATGTGGAGCCGGAGAATTGAACTCAGGTTGTCAGACTTGACAGTAAGTGCCTTTACCCTCTGATCCATCTTTCTAGCCCTCAAGTAATAAAGTCTTTCTTGGGCAGGGATATACAGAATATGACGGTGTCTGAGGTTTCTTAGTAGATTGACTGGAAGGGTCTCCAAGTAAACTTTAGTGACAGGTAAGGTCAGATTAGAGAAGGCATAGATTACTTAAAATAGGAAAAGAAAGCTTAGTCTGAATTCTAGTTTAGCATACTAAAAGCCACATGCCCTTGCATAAATTATTACTAAACTTGAATTCCTTTGCCACAGTAAACATTGTAAGTGCTCACATATTCTAGGCTTATTGTAAAGATTAAATTGTATAGTATTGGTTATATTCTTTTTAAAAATTAATTTATGTATTTTTATTTTATGTGTAGGAGGGTTATGTCTGCATGTGTGTAAGTACACCTGTGTCATGCAGTGCCCACAGAGATCAGAAGAGGGTGTTGGATCCCTGGAACTGGAGCCACAGATGGTTGTTGGCTACCATGTGGGTGCTGGGATTTGAACCCAGGTCCTCTGCAAGAGCAGCCAATGCTTTTAATTGCTGAGCCATCTCTCCAGTTCCAGTACTGGTAATGTTCTTAAAGACCTGTATAAAAATGAAATGACAAGATGATGATTGAGCCCCACCTGGAGTAGCAGAAATAAACAAAATGGTCTCAAAGAGGAACACTCGAAAGACTGTTTTGCTTTGTTTTGTTTTTAATATTTATTTATTTTAATTTTTATGTGTCTGAGTGTTTTGCCTGCATGTATGTAAGTGCATCATGTGTGTGCAATGCCCACGGAGGCCAGAAGAGGGTGTGTGTTAGATCCTCTGGAACTGGAGTTATGGCTGATTGTTAGCTGCCATGTGGGTGCTGGGAACTGAATCCAGGTCCTCAACCAGTGCTCTTAACCGCTGAGCCATCTCCCCAGCCCCCTTGTTTTGTTTTGTTTTGTTTTTAAGACAGGGTCTCACTGTGTAGCCCAGGCTGGCCTTTCTGCCTCTACCTCCCTAATGCTGGGGTTACAGGCATGTTCCACCATACCTCCCACCCCCCACTTTGAAGATTTAACTAAGAAGTGAGAAGCAGAAGAGAGAAAACACTCAAGAGCTGTTGAATCATTTCTTCTCTGAACTCTAGCACTTTGTGCACGTGGGCATAAGCTGTCATGTAATGTGACGTGCTGTCTCAGATTATTCTACGTGTTTCTCTTTGTCTACTTTCCAGTCAGGGTTTCTCTACACTGATCAGCACAGAGCAAGTACTTACAGCATTTAATTTAGTCGAGAAAAATGCCACCTCAGTCTTCAGAAACAGCTGTAGAGGATGGTGTTTTTAAATGTCTGAAAACAGAGGATACTGTGGTCAAGAACATGGGAATTGTCCTTAGTGGAGCAGATCTAAATGAATAGAGAGGTTTTGTTCTGTGGACATGAGGATATGTGGTACTCAAACGAGGCTGCTACCTCTACTACCATCTCTGATTTATCTTGTTTTGCTTTCCCCTTGGGAGGTATTTCTGCACCCATAGTGTCACTATTCATAAGGAAATGTAGTAAAGACACACAAACCTACTTCTTTAAACAGATGCGAAGTTCTGCTCCTCTGAAACTGACCACAAAGCAATTCTTGTTTCTGGATTTTAAAAATAAGTATGCAAATCTAATTTTCTACCCTCTACCTCAGAGTGACTTAGTTCACTGTACTAAGTTACTTTGCCCAGAATAAATACCTCAGGACATTTTGTCCTGTATCTTCTCTCTAGTTATCCTGGGTTTTAGCTTCTTTATAGATATTTTCAGTACCTGATGTGAGGACTGCCCATATCAAATTCCCTTGGATTAGTTAAAAATAACAGAATTCTGGGCTGGATAGATGGCTCAGCAATTAAGAGTACTGACTGCTCTTACAGAGAACCTAGGTTTGGTTCCCAGCACCCATGTGGTGTAACTCCAGTTCTAGGGAATCCAGCCAGCTCTTTTGGCCTCTACAGGTACTGCACACATGTAGTGTACTTATATGTACATGGAAGGGAAACTCTCATACACATGAAATAATAAATGAATCTTTAAAAAAAAATACAAATTTCTCTGCCTCTTAGACCCAAATAAGCCTAGACGTCTGTACTTTCATACATCCTCTCTCTCTTTCTCTCTCTTATTTTTAAAGATTTACATTTTAATTGTGGGCATGGGATGGGATGGGGTATGTGCATGTGATTTCAGGTGCCTGGGGAGGCCATAGGCATTGGATCTCCTGGAACTGGAGTTACAGGTGGTTGTTAGCTGCCTGACATGAGTGCTGGGAATCAAGCTCAGTCTTCTGCAGTCCATGCTCTTGCATTTTGTTTGTTGCCTCTGCATTTTAACAGTGACTTCCACGTTGATAATTACTGTTCAAATTCTGGATATACATCCAGAAAAATGTGATGAGCTGAATTTAGAATATGAGGCATGAAGAAGAATTAAGGGTAATTCTTGCTTTTTAAAAA